TTTTGAGATGGAGTCTTGCTCTGTCGTCCAGGCTGGAGTGCAGTGGCATGATCTCTGCTCACTACGACCTCCACCTCCCAGGTTCAAGCGATTCTCCTGCCTTAGCCTCCCAGATAGCTGAGATGACAGGCACCCACCACCATGACCGGCTAAGTTTTTAGTAGAGATGGAGTTTCGCCATGTTGGACAGGCTGGTCTCGAACTGCTGACCTCATGATCTGCCTGCTTTGGCCTCCCAAAGTGCTGGGATTACAGGCATGAGCCACCATGCCCAGCCAGGAATTTGGTCCTTACTGAATATTTTTTTCATCCTCCAGGGCCTAGCACACTGCTTGGCACATGGTAGGTAGTTGATCATCAGTTAGTTGTTTGCTGAATTTGCTGACAAGAACTTCACGGTCTGGGAAGGAGACAGACGGGCACACAGCTACTTTTAACACCAGGCAAGAGGTGTTGGTGATGTAACAAACGTACCAGGAGAGTTGTGCTGATGCGGGGGAAGGAGAAAGCCATTCCTAAAAGGATCTGGGAAGTTTTCACTGAGAAGATGGCATTTGACTGGGCTTTGGAGGAGAGCAGGAAGAGAAGAGGGTGGAGGCCAGGTGCAGTGGCTCACACCTGTAATCCCAGCAATTTGGGAGGCCGAAGTGGGCTGATCACTTGAGGCCAGGAGTTCAAGACCAGCCTGGCCAACATGGCAAAACCCCATCTCTACTAAAAATACAAAAATTAGCTGGGCATGGTGGTGTGCACCTGTAATCCCAGCTACTTGAGAGGCTGAGACACAAGAATCCAAAATTGTTTGAACCTGGGAGGTGGAGATTGCAGTGAGCCAAAATTGTGCCACTATACTACACCCTGGGTGACAGGGCGACACTCTGTCTCAAAAAAAAGAACAAAAAGAGAAGGGGGTAGGAGAAGGGCATTCTGGGGTGGACAATATAACTGACTGTGGGAAGTTGGAGAGTGCAGGAGTTGCGGTGTCAGAACGGGATGTGGGAGATAAGACGGGAAGAAACAGCAGAAGGCAGAAAGGGAAGGGTGTTGAATGCTGGGATGTTTCACTTTCTCTTAGAAGCATGGGGAGCAGGGATGCCTTTGGAATAGGAGCATGAAAGATCTCTCTAGTGTCAGCACAGAGAAGGGAGAGAAGGATGCCAGACCACAAGCTGAGGCCTCCATTAGGGTTGTGGTGGTGGGGAGGGAGAAGAGAGAAACTAAAAGGGCAGGATGGATGGATGGATAGATGGATGGATGGATGGATAGATGGATGGATGGATGGATGGATGGATGGATGGATGGATGGATAGATGGATGGATGGATGGATGGATAGAGGGATGGACAGACGGAGAGATGAATGCAATGGTGTCCTGAAGCTAGTTTACACTGGCTCACAAGAGCAGATTGTTAAGTTCTGGGGAATTTTGCCAACTGGTTTTTAAAGAGCCATTAAAATATAAATAAATATATATGTTTTATAAGCTTATAGTCAGGCCAGGTGTGGTGGCTCACACCTAGAATCCCAACACTTTGGAAAGCTGAGGTGGGAGGATTGCTTGAGCCCAGCCTGATCAACATAATGAAACCCTGTCTCTAATAAAAAATAATAAAATTAACAAATAATATGTAAAACGTATACTCAAATAAGTTACTACAAAAAAGGTAATTTCCTTCCTGTTTCACTATTTTTTTTTTTTTTTTGGGAGACACAGTCTCACTCTGTTGCCCAGGCATGCAGTGGCGCAATCTTGGCTCACTGAAACCTCCACCTCCTAGGTTCAAGCAATTCTCCTGCCTCAGCCTCCCAAGTAGCTGGGACTACAGATGCACGCCACCATGCCCAACTAATTTTTGTATTTTTAGTAGAGACGGGGTTTCACCATGTTAGCCAGGATGGTCTTGATCTCTTGACCTCGTGATCCACCCGCCTCGGCCTCCCAAAGTGCTGGGATTACAGGCATGCGCCACCTTGCCCAGCCGTTTCACTACCTTTTACCACATCTACTATGGTGGAGATACTACATAACGGCCTGTGCTGCACGTCTCTTCCCAACTCCTCCTTCAGTGTTGGTAGCTTGAAATCAGCCATGGTGACAGAGTTTACACTGTAGGAATCAGCAAAAGCTACAAATCAGGCTTTTTCTTCTGCAGCACTGGTTGTTAAATGTTTACCAGTACACCACTGGATTATTGGACAATGTAGAGGGAGAATGAACAACAAAAAAAAAGTAACTGGAGACAGTGCTTTGTGCCACCTCCAGTGAGAGAAAGGAGCTGAAATAAAACCGTATTGGAAGCTGGGCACAGTGGCTCACACCTGTAATCCCAGCACTTTGGGAGGCTGAGGCAGGCAGATCACCTGAGGCCAGGAGTTTGAGACCAGCCTGGCCAACATGGTGAAACTCATCGCTACTAAAATTACAAAAGTTAGCTGGGCATGGCACACGCTATAATCCCAGCTACTCCGGAGGCTGAGGTACAAGAATCACTTGAACCCAAGAGGTGGAGGTTGCAGTGAGCCAAGACTACACCACTGCTCTCCAGCCTGGGTGACAGAGTGAGACTCTGTCTCAAGACAAACAAATCCATATTGGAGCCCATAGGCCAGAGGCAACCTCTGTAATAGAGGAACACAGGGGATCTCTTTTCTGTTCCCGCCCTTGCCCCATTCCCCCTCACTTTAGTTCCACTGTCTCCACCAGCTGGTGCAGCCTCAGAGTGTCCTCTCGGAGGCCCTGGTAAAGGGACTCGTCCTTCATAATTAGCAGGTATAGATCCTAGAGAGAGGAGGACAAAGAAGGTGAAGGAAGGGGTCTCATCCCAAGGGCTACTCTCTGCCGGGGCCAGACAAGGTCTCCATGCCTTTGAGCACAGAAGAGCCATATAACCTAAGGCCCCCTGGCATCTCTTCCTTCCACGTGCCCAGCATCAAAAGTATGGCTCCTTCACAGGGGCCCCCTTCTAGACCTGATAGCCCGTTTATCCACCTTCTCTTCCCCGAGGCCCACCTTGATGATGTGGCCGGCTCCCTCTTCCTCTTGAAGCAGTCCCTGGTAGGTGTCCAAGAAATGGAGAAGCATGGCTAGACAGGCCTGCTTCTGGCCCAGCCCCTCAGGACCCTCCATGCCTCCTGCACGAACAAAGCTGACCTTAAGTTAAGAAAAACCCCTAGGCAAGCAGACCTGAGGAACTGAGGAGAAAGATGGGAGGCTAGGCCACGTGCAGTGGCTCACACCTATAATCCCAGCACTTTGGGAGGCTGCGGTGGGCAGATAACCTGAGGTTAGGAGGTTGAGACCAGTTTGGCCAACACGGTGAAACCCCATCTCTACTAAAAGTACAAAAATTAACCGGGCATGGTAGTACATGCCTGTAATCCTAGCTACTTGGGAGGCTAAGGCACAAGAATGGCTTGAACCCAGGAGGCAGAGGTTGCAGTGAGCAGATATCGCGCCATTGCACTCCAGCCTGGACAACAGAGGAAAACTCTATCTCTAAAAAAAAAAAAAAAAAAAAGAAAGAAAGAAACACCTGGTATGGGGGTTCGTGCCTGTAATCTCTGCACTTTGGGAGGCTGAGATGGGCGGATCGCCTGAGGTTAGGAGTTCAAGACCAGCCTGGCCAACATGGTTAAACCCCATCTCTACTAAAAATACAAAAAAATAGCTGGACGTGATGGCGGATGCCTGTAATCCCAGCTACTCAGGAGGCTGAGGCAGAAGAATCACTTGAACCCAGCCAAGGTTAGGCCATTGCACTCCTGCCTGGGCAATAAGAGTGAAACTCCATCTCAAAAAAAAAAAAAAAGATGGGAGGCTAAATTGCTAGACTTGGGGCCAGAGAGAAAGGAGTTTCAGGGGCCAAGACCTCCTCATGCCCCAGGGCAGGTTTTTGCTTAAAGTAGGTAGTGATGGCACCCACTTGACCACATCCAGCTCCTGCAGGTTAGACAGGTTAGATTTTCACTTGAGGATACCCTGCCCAGACCCATCCAACCCCTGTCCAGCCCAGGGCCTGGAGCTCACAGTGCACCTAATAAAGGCCAATGGTGCTTACCACAAACCTGACTATACCTCACTGGAAGGCCTGATGTTTCTAAGAGAGCCTGTGACTTTATTTATTTATTTATTTGAGATGGAATCTCGCTCTGTCACCCAGGCTGGAGTGCAGTGGCACAATCTGAGCTCACTGCAACCACTGCCTCCTGAGTTCAGGCAATTCTCCTACCTCAGCCTCCAGGGTAGCTGAGATTACAAGTGCCCGCCACCATGCCTGGCTAATTTTTGTATTTTAATAGAGACAGAGTTTCACTTTGTTGGCCAGGCTGATCTCGAACTCCTGCCCTCAAGTGATCCACCTGCCTCAGCCTCTGAAAGTGCTGGGATTACAGGCATGAGCCACCACACCTGGCCAAGAGCCTGTGACATTCTACTCAGAGGTCTGACATTTACAATTAGGTCCTAGAATAACTCCATGAGAGGCCCATGCTTATGAGACGCTATGAATAGCCCATCCAGTGGCTCCTCTCTAGCAGACCCCACTGAAGCACAGCCATGACCTGATGTTTACATCAGACCCATTATAGCTCACTGGGCAACCAGATGTTTTGGAGCAATAATTCAGTGGGGATAGAGGCCCCCCTTAGTAGAATAATAACACCTTGTGTGGGTGCAGTGGCTGACGCCTATAATCCCAGCACTCTGGGAAGCTAAGGTGGGCGGATCACTTGAGGTCAGGAGTTCAAGACCAGCCTGGGCAACATGGCAAAACCCTGGCTCCACCAAAAAATACAAAAAGTAGCCAGGTCTGGTGGCACACGCCTGTAGTCCCCAATTCCTGGGGAGGCTGAGGCAGGAGAATCGCTTGAACCCTGGAGGCAGAGGTTTCAGTGAGCCAAGAACACACAACTGCACTCCAGCCTGGGTGACAGAGCAAGACTTCATCTCAAAATAAATAAATAAATAACACCTTTCATTTGTACAGGGCTCTGCAGCCTCCAAAGCACTCCTACATCTGCTATCAGACTGATCTTCATAGCAGCTCATAGGTAGGCAGGACAGGTACTATTTACCTCTATTTTACAGAAGAGGAAACTGAGGCCCCAAGAGGTTAGGTAATCTGCCCAGGTTACACAGCTGTTGAGTAGAAAAGCTGGGAGTGAAACCCAGATTTTTTAATTTTTTAATTTTTTTTTTTGAGACAGAGTCTCACTCTGTTGCCCAGGCTAGAGGGCAGTGGCACGATCTCGGCTCACTGCAACTTCCGCCTCCCAGGTTCAAGTGATTCTCCTGTCTCAGCCTCCTGAGTAGCTGGGAATACAGGTGTGTGCCACCACTCCTGGCTAATTTTTCTTTTAGTAGAGAAAGTGTTTTGCCATGTTGGTCAGGCTGATCTCGAACTCCTGACCTCAGGTGATCTGCCTGCCTCAGCCTCCCAAAGTGCTGGGATTACAGGTGTGAGCCACCTCGCCCGGCCCCAGGTATGTTTTCTAGGGGAGAGTTTAGGCTCTGACATTGCATGTGTGATGGAGGGAGCGGCTCCCTCTGACCTCTCCCTTTACAAACTCCACAAAAGGATATTACTGGTGTAGCTCCTGCAGAAATTTCTCCGTCGGGAGGAAGAGAGAATGCGTAAGGACAATGTCATCCAGCAGGATATCTGTAAAGATCGGTGGGCACCAAGCATGTCAGGAGGGCATTTCCAGAACGAAACTGGAAATGCAGTGCCTCCCTCTCTTGCCCCTGAGGGCAAGTTCTCTTTAGCCAGGCCGGAGCCCCAGCCACCTGCCCCGTCATGCTCTGCATACGCACACACACACATGTGTAAAGGTTCTGGGCAGCCGCTGCGGGGGTGGGGTTGGCAGCTGCCAAGGCAGCTGAAGGGAATGGGGGGGGCGTGCCTTTGATGGCCACGTGCACTTCTCTTCAGTGTGTGTGGGAAGTTGGTCAGATAACACATCAAGTTTGAGTTTTGCCTGAAAAAAGCAGCCCACAGAAGGATCTCTAAACAAAGAGTATTTCCAAACACAGAGGTCAGCATCAGTGAGGGGAGTGTGTGTGTGTGTGCTCCTCTTCCCCTCCCCATCTCCTACCTAACAGCTCTGAGTTCTAACTAGAGAGGTGAGAGCCAGCCTGATTAAAAGGGAGAGGGAAAGACGCCATCGCTTTGATCTCAGAACTTTTATACAGAAATCTTGTGTCCTTTGGGTGCCCAGAGACAGAAGGGTTAATGAAGGAAAATGGTGAAGAGGAGTGGCTCCTCTCACCACCCCTTTCCCCTCCACACCCCCGTCTGGGCCTGGCTTAGCCAGTCAGCCGGGTACAAGGTCGCCCTGACTTGCAGCCAGCCCTGGGGTGGGGCAGGGCTTCCTGGCACACACAGGCAAGGTGCAGGGAGGGAGCCAGGTGTCCTCACCAGGACAGGTTAGGGCCAGGTCCCCAGGCACTGTCCCAGGACAAAACCAAGGCTTCTGAAGGCCCTTGGTTCACCATCCCCTGTGGTCAGTTCTAGCCATGAAGGTGGAGGAGGAAAACCCACACGAGGTAATTTACTTCAACAATTTCATTTCACAAATGAGAAACTGAGGCCCAGAGCTGGGAGGGACTTGCCTGAGGTTGGAATAAGAACCCATAATTCTGAGTCTTCTGTCATTTTCTCAATATGCCTGAGGCAAGCAGAGTGTTGGGGAAAGCCTAGTGGTCAGAGGGGGCCGCTTGGATGTTAGAGAGGCTTTGGCTAGGTTTAGAGTAACTTCTGTAAGCTCTCTCCTCCCACACACCCTGGGAGGAGACCAGGATGACTTGAGAACATTGGTTTTATTGGAGAACATCAGAGTGGCAGGTTAAGCTGATTCTCCTTCACCCTGGGACTGGTTTGGAATTTCCCAAACCAGTTACTCTGGGAATCCAGCCTGCCAGATAACATGGGTGACATTTCAGGAGCCTTACCCGAGGGGAGACTGAGCAGAATATGTGGCACCAGGCCCCTGTAAAAGGGGAAAGACAGTTTCTCCCTTTTCCTCCCTGCCCAGCTACCTTGCTGTTTTTTTTGTTTTGTTTTGTTTTTTTGTTTTGTTTTTTTTTGTTGAGACGGAGTTTCACTCATGTTACCCAGGCTGGAGTGCAATGGCGCGATCTCGGCTCACCGCAACCTCCGCCTCCTGGGTTCAGGAAATTCTCCTGCCTCAGCCTCCTGAGTAGCTGGGATTACAGGCACGTGCCACCATGCCCAGCTAATTTTTTGTATTTTTAGTAGAGACGGGGTTTCACCATGTTGACCAGAATGGTCTCGATCTCTTGACCTCGTGATCCACCCGCCTCGGCCTCCCAAAGTGCTGGGATTACAGGCTTGAGCCACCATGCCCGGCTGTTTTTTGTTTTTTTTTAGAGACGGGGTTTCACTATGTTGGTCAGGCTGATCTTGAACTACTGACGTTGTGATCCGCCCGCCTCAGCCTCCCAAAAAGCTGGGATTATAGGCATGAGCCACCGCGCCCAGCTCCTTACTGTGTTCTTACAGTGAGTCAGACAGCCCCCAGCTCTGACCCCCAGCTTCAGGGAAGGGGACGAGGAATCAAGAGGCCTGACATCCTTCATAGACTTTATCTCACAGGATTTCTAAGCTGGAGCAAAGGAAGAGTAAGACGGGGACAGAGTGGGGGAGATGCTGATATGGGGCCACAGTTGGGCATCTGTCTTTTCCAAGGCAGGCTCTGGGCCAACGTACAGCCTCCCTAGGGAATGTGTCATAGAGACACAGGGTGTGTGGTGTAGGCGTGAAGTTATGGTTAGGAGAGCTGTGTGTGTCTGATATTTTTCTAATTAAATCCAAAAGGTGTCAGCTCCTCAGGGCAACTACAGCCTGAGCCAAAGGAGAGGACCCAGGTCTTGTGAAGGATTTAGGAGAGTGGAGCCCCGCTCCACACATCTAGGTTAGGGTTCCCTGCAGAGGGCTGAGAGCGAGTGTGAAAGCTCTCAGCATTAGGGTCTCAGCCGGGGCTCCCAAACCTCAGACTCTCCTGGGCTTTCTGCAATGCCTAGAGGTAGACCCAAAGACCCCTGGGTCTTCTACCTCAGCCACCAACCAGCCATTTGAGGCCTCAGTTTCCTCAAAGGCCCCTTAGTAGGGTTGCTGAAAGGGAGTGGTGAAATAGTATCATCACTTAGGGAAGAAGTTTCTCAGGGTGTGGTGATTATGTTTTAAAGAGGCTGTATGCTGGGCACGGTGGCTCACGCCTGTAATCCCAGCGCTTGGGATGCCAAGGCGGGTGGATCTTGAGGTCAGGAGTTCAAGACCAGCCTGGCCAAGATGGTGAAACACCATCTCTACTAAAATTACAAAAACTAGCCAGGCACAGTGGCAGGTGCATGTAATCCCAGCCACTCTGGAGGCTGAGGCAGGAGAATCGCTTGAAACCAGGTGGCAGAAGTTGCAGTGAGCTGAGATTCTGCCACTGCACTCCAGCCTGGCTGACAGGGTGACTCCATCTCAAAAAAAAAAAAAAAAAAGAGGCTGTGTGCTGAGGTCTGCCACTGCCACGGGAAGGGAAGGGTGGGAGCTGGAGGCACTCAAGCACCCTGGGTGCTGCAGGGCCCTGATGCCAGCCCAGCCACATCTCCCCTTCCAGACACCTTCTGAGTCCACCCCCAAGGAGAACGCTATCCTCCCCCCCCACCGCCAAACTGCTAAGGACAACGCATCCCTTTGCTGATGCATAAAAGGCAGGGCCTGTTCCTGTCTGAAACAGCCCCCGCTCTGGGTGGGTCAGCCTGCGCTGTGCAGGCCTCTGAACAGTCAGGGACCCCGGGGTTTTCAGAGCTCAAGCACCTCTGGTGGGTGGCATGGCTGTGCTGGGCAGCTTCCATCTTAATGTATCAGGCCCTAATCTAGGCCCACAGGAGGAGGTATTCAACATTAGGGACCCATGGAAGTCAATGGCTGCAATGCCCAGGGGAAAGGAAGGGTGGCTGAAGGAGAGGAAGAGGCTCAGCTGCTTCTCCAGCCGGGGGTGAGGCTGCTGCAGGGAGGAAGGTGGGTACTGCCCCCTCTTCCGCAGGAGGGTCTGTGCCTACGTTAGGCCCCTAGCCAGCTTCCGCGGACCACTCAATCCTGTACCCAGGCCACAGAACGGCGCCACCCCCATGCTCCAAGGGCAAAGAAGAGGATCTGGGGCCAGCCCCTGCTCCGGGTGTTCGAGCCCGCCCGCTCCTTACCTGAGGCGGCGCTGTCCCTGGTGGCCCCTCCGGCCAGTCGCTCCAGAACCCGGTTCAGAAGATGCTCCGGCCGCTCGGGGGCGCCCAGCGGGGCCCAGGGTGGCGAAGTCAAGGGCTCACCCGGGGACAGCTCGTCAGAGGAGTAGGAGGAAGGGGAGCGCAGGGGCCCCCCTCCCCCGAGCGGTCCCGGCCCCGGCACCTCCTCCAGCTGCAGCCAGCAGGGCCCCCCGCTGCCCAGCTCCTCCGCGACCCCCGCCGGCTCTCCCCCTTCCTCCTCAGGGGGCGGCTCCAGCCCCGGCTCGGCGGGGGGCTCCCGGAGGAAAGCGGGGAGCAGCAGGCGAGACACGCTCTGACGCCGCTGCAGGGACCGCGGTCCCCCGGCTGGACCGCCGCCCCCGCCAGGTCCCCCACCCCCTCCAGGCCCGCCGCAGCTCCCCGGACCCCCGCCGGGACCTCCCGCCACCGTTCGGCCAGCCAGCTGCGACGTCTGCTTCTTCAGAAATTTCTCCAGCGGCTTCATGCCCCCCCCCGCCCCTCTCCTAGGGGCCGCCGGGGGACCCAGGTGTCCCTGGCGCGGGCGGGGGGGGGCGCGGGGACACGATGCTCAGAGCTGGAGGAGCAGAGTAGAGGGCCGTGCCAGGCGCCGGACTAGGGGCCAGAGGTGCCGAGCCTCGCTGGCCAGAGTCCAGTGGCCAGTAGCCGGGGGAGGTGCCAGAGGGAAGGAGTGCCGGCTCTCAGCAGCCCCCCATGCCGCTGTAGCCGGCACGCGGCCCGAAGAGTGGGCAGGCTGTGGGGCCGGTGCCCCCGGCTCTGCGCTCCCGGGCTGGGCTGCGGCGGCAGAAGCAGCGGGCGGAGCGCAAGGCTGAGAGGACGCGGCGGCGGCGGCGGCGGCTGCGCTCCTGGCCGGGTGGGGGGGAAGGTGGCAGAACCGAGACCGCGCCCCCTCCTCCAGTCCCCGCCCAGTCCCGCCCCTGCCCTTCCTGGGCCCGCCCCCGCGCCGCACGAGGCTTGAACTCGCGCGCTGGGATTGACCGCGAGGGAAACAGTAAGGGTCTTGGGTTCTGAGCAGAAGAAATTAAGGGCAAAGGTGAGGCAAAGATTTACCAATGGAGAAAGATTCTTGGCTCAAGGGATTACCGGGTTCTTAGCATTATTTCAAAGAGTCAGGTCTGTGGCCTGGGCACCTTGACTCACCTACCTGCGTACCCAAGTCAGGCCTACAGATTGCTGAACCCAAGAGTGTGCACCTTTTCCATACTCACAGGAATAGATGGACTTTATCTTCCTTCTGTGAGAAGGGCTGGGAAGGAAGGCCTCTTGGGTGAATTAGCATTGGCACTGGAGGCAGTGCCCATCTGTCCTCTCTGATAGGGCACAATAGGTAGTGTGGGCCTAGCCTGTGGGCAGGTACTGGCAGGCAGGTAGGAGCCAGGCAGGGAGCAGCAGGTTGTGGCAGGTCTAGCTGGGGTGAGGAGGAGATAATAGGCAGGGGGGAGGAGACCAGGAGCACAGGGGCACCTGAGCCCAGCTGGCAGCAGAAGGAAGCAGGGCCATGGAGACAGGTGACAAGCCCCAGAAGTGCTGACTGTCATCAAGCACAGAGCCCAAGGGTACATAGCCCTGGAGTGGGCAAAGTGGTGCCAAATTAGCACTCCAAGTAATCCTTACTGCTGATGCCTTTGCCAGGAGCGTTCTGTCCTTAAGGGTATACTGTCCAAGAAGGGGGTGCAGTGTAAACCCATGCTAAGTGTGAAAACATCCAGGTTAGGCTTACAAGGTGGGGGAGTGGCACCAGGTTCTGGATGGATGGAGGCTCCCTGAACAATGCCCCACCCCTGTTTACTGTGCACCAACCAGGCAGGGACAGGAATGCTGATGGCTGGGAGTGGTAGTAAAACTGAACAGGGTGTGTATGACATACGTATCAATGTATGTACATATCTGGTCCCATGTATGCTAGAGCATGTGTTCACAGAAATAAAGCTTTGCACACCCATCTGTTTGTGGATTTGGAAACAGTAAAAAGAAGAGTGTACAATTTTGGCTAAGAAGCTGTATTAGAAGTCTTGAGTATCAGCTTTCTGTGCTCCCCTTATTGGACACCCCAATATCCCCGAGCTTGAAAGGGGAAAGTGGCTGGAATCGCTTGGAGCTCCCAGGTAGCATTTTATGAACCGAAGAGGAGGAGGGAAGGGCTTCTCTCCCAGCACATGCCACAGTTACCAGATTAAGCCGGTTGCCTTGGTAACCTTCTCTCTGGGCAGGATTTGGGAATTGTTGGTTAGGAAGGGCGAATTGGGGAGTGTGAAGGCTGTGGGGGGTTGAAAATAAAAGGGACTGGGAGACTTCTGGAAGCTAGAACCTTGGGGCACAGGACCTCAGCACTCCCCCGAATACTCAAGGATATCAGGCAGAGACAAAGTTAAACATTTTGAATCAGTGAGGAGAGCCAGCATCAAGTCAAGGTCCTCCTGGAGTGGCAGTGGTTTTCACCCTGACTGCACACTGGAATCACAGGGAAGCTTTTCAGAAATCCTGATGCTGGTTGGGCGAGGTGCCTCATGCCTATAATCTCAACACTTTGGGAAGCTGAGGCAGGCGAATCACTTGAGGTCAGGAGTTCAAGACCAGCCTGATCAACATGGTGAAACCCCACCTCTACTAAAAATACAACAACAAATCAGCCAGGTGTGGTGGCACACACCTGTAATCCTAGCTATTCTGGAGGCTGAGGTGGAAGGACAGCTTGAACCTGAGAGGTAGAGGTTGCAGTGAGCCAGTATTGTGCCACTGCACTGCAGCCTGGGAGAAAGTGAGACTCCGTATTTAAAAAAAAAAAAAAAAAAAGGACTGATACCCAAGCCACATCTCAGACCAATTAAATCAGATTTCTGAAGCAGGGCCAAGGCAATACTATAAGTATTTTTTTTTTTTTTTTTTGAGATGGAGTTTCGCTCTTGTTACCCAGGCTGGAGTGCAATGGCGCGATCTCGGCTCACCGCAACCTCCACCTCCTGGGTTCAGGCAATTCTCCTGCCTCAGCCTCCTGAGTAGCTGGGATTACAGGCACGTGCCACCATGCCCAGCTAATTTTTTGTATTTTTAGTAGAGATGGGGTTTCACCGTGTTGACCAGGATGGTCTTGATCTCTTGACCTCGTGATCCACCCGCCTCGGCCTCCCAAAGTGCTGGGATTACAGGCGTGAGCCACCGTGCCCGGCCGGCATATAGTATTTTTTAAAAGCTCCTGACATGACCACACATGGCCAGGGTTGAAAAGTCCCTGCCCTAGAGGGCCAGTCCAACCCAAGTGGGCTGCAGATGCTGGGAGCTGACTTTGGAATTCCAAGTTTTTGGTGCTCCGAGTTGCCCACAAGGTAGGAGGCCTGTGTGCTGACCCTGAAGGGGAAGAGGGTTGGCAGGGCATTTGCACCTGCTCATGAAGAGGAAGGCAGGGTGGTATGAGTAACAACTGAGATGGGGGTGAAAGAGCTTTGAGAACCCAGCCCATGGGCTTCTACAAGGGGACTGGGCAGGGCTACCTAAGGTGATCTGTCTGTTGCTCTCACACCCTCTTCTTTCTGCCCACCCAGAGGCAGGCTGGTAGGATAGAACGAACCTGGAGGCTTTGCTGAGCTTGAGTTTCTTCTCACTGAGTTGGTTAACAAGGCGACAGAGAGAGCAATAGAATCTAACTGAAGAACTGGGGAAGTAAGAGGCAAGGGTGAAGGGGCAACACCCAACACTCTAACCTCCTGCCAGTAACCCACCCCCAAGGCTGGGAGATCAGGCCTACGTCACCCATCACACTGGGGAAGAGAAGCAAACTGTCATGATTTAAAGAGGAATTAGCGCCCCAGCGCAAGTGAAGGTCTCCTGGAGTGGCCGTGGTTTTCACCCTGACTGCCCACCTGCCCACTGGAATCACAGGGAAGCTTTTCAGATATCCTGATGCTGGCTGGGCGCAGTGGCTCACACCTGTAATCCCAGCATTTTGAGAGGCTGAGCCGGGATCACCTGAGCTCAGGAGCTCGAGACCAGCCTGGCCAACATGGTGAAATCCCATCTCTACTAAAAATACAAAAAAATGTAGCCGGGCTTGGTGGCAGGCGCCTGTAATTCCAGCTACTTGGGAGGCTGAGGTGGGAGGATTGCTTGAGCCCAGGTGGTCAAAGCTGCAGTGAGCCATGATAGTGCCATTGCACTCCAGACTGGGCAATACAAGAAGACCGAAAAAAAAAAAAAAAAAAAAAGATGCACTACGATGTCCATGCCTCCAGTGTATGGATTTGTGAAACTTAACAAATGTTGCTAGCTCCACATGAAACTCAATCGCTCTCCCATAACAGGGGTAGCCTCTGTAGTAAACTTCCATCCCACCCAGGACCTGGAGGAAGAAGTCACTTCAAAGGTAGAGAACTGCCCTCTAAGCATCAAGAGGCCAAGTGATCTAGGTAAACTGCAACATGAGCCACAGTTGGTCTTTCAGTTTTCCTTCCCCTTATCTGACCTAATTGATAAGAGTCTCCCTAAGACTGTGGTCCTCAATACTTTGTAGGCATCTTTACTTTTCAAGAAAGTTAGCTACCTGTACTTCCCCCTAGCCCAGGACTTGGTATAGTTATATTGACATCTGATGGCACATTACTTTGGGAAACTTACTTGCCAAACACAAAGGAAGCCATAAAGAATACTAGACGCTCATGGGAATGAGCAGCATCTCACTACTTTTCTGTCCCTGACACTTCCAATCTAAGGGATTGCATATCCTAGTAATCTATACGGTTAAAAAACAAAACTGATGGGGAATGCAGACACATTTATGGCCTCATAGGGCCTCCTCATCTCTCTGGGCTTCTGTTTCACAAGTCTAGGCTGGCCTGAGTTGTGGCTGTGACCCTGTGGGAGAATTAGGGAGTTCTCTTCCCTCTCTCCCAAATCAAGACTCATGCAAAACATTGGCAAGGCTGTCAAGTTTATAGTCTAAATTTTATTATCTCCAAGTCACAATGGTGATCACAGATGTGCAACCTTTAAAACAGTAACAAAAAAAATACCACCACACATGGAAAAATCCTTGCAACTAAACACGGTGGACCAACAGAGACAACTCTCACAGTGTCTTAAGGTCTGGGAATCTGGGCATGCTGCCCACAGGCTTGAGGAGACATCTTCAGGTTTAAGGCAAAGGGAACAGCCTACAAAAGGCACAACCACCAGCTACCCCTGGAACAATCTCTTATTTCCTCCTTGGGGGTTACAGATTAAGTGCCTCTCCCCCATCCCCATCCCACACCTGTGACTCAAGAGTGGTTAGGCCAGCTGCTAGAGGGAAGGAATAAAAACAGACAGTGACATTACCGGGGAGAGAGACAGCTACCATCTTTGCTCTCAGGTTCTGTAGAAGGACAGGGACAGTGGTCAAGTTACCCCTGGCAGACACAAGTACTGCAATAACAGGAATCTCTTCCATAGAGGCAGCAGAGAAGTGGTTTAGTGCCATGGATAGGGAGGAAAGATAGGAACCCCTGCCCAGAAGATGACTGGCTTCCTTAGGCCTTAAGCCCAGATGTAGTATCTTCTGTTTGGAAGGAAAAGAGTAGAATTCAGGGAAAATAAAGTAGTAACATCTAAAACACTTGTGGCAGAAAAGACGTGAGGAAGAGCAATTGCAAAGGACAGGGTGGGTTGCTTGCTGGATATTTGCCTTTAAGGAGATGCATTGGTCCACAGCAACTGGACAGGGGGTGTAGCAAGAAGAATGGAAAGAAGAGAAGCAAGGCCCTCTAATTCCACTTACCTCAAAGATTGAGCCCTGAGGACTATGTGAATACACACCCTAAGGTGCAAAGATTCTCACTCCACCATCCCTTTCTCACAAAAGCTTCTGGTTTG